TTTTTTTTTTTTTTTTTTTTGATGGTACTGGGGATAGATCTCGGGGCCTTGTGCTTGTGAGGCAGGCAGTGGCACCACAGAGCTAAATTCCCGGCCCCTCTGTTGAGTTCTTACAGTAACATTTTCTTTTCTTTTTTTTTTGTACTGGGGATCAAACTCAGGACCTGTGCTTGCAAGGCAGGCAGTGGCACCACTGAGCTAAATCCCTGGCCCTTTTTGTAGTAACATTTCCACTTAATTATCATGCTTTTTTGCTCTAGGATTTGTTTATTTATTTTTTTAGAGTTTCTGTGTCTTTATTTCTATTTTCTTTTCCGTTGGATATTGCTTTTTAAAATCTTCTAAACTATTTTTGTTCTCTAGATGCACTTTTAATAGCTTATTTAAAGTTTTTAAAAAAATATTAAGTCTAACACCTACAGTTCCTCAGAGAAAAATTGACTTACTGCCCACACTTGCCACATTTCAGCCGTTTTCTGCTTCTTCACACATCTCAGAATGTGTTTGGTTGAAAACTGAACATTTAAAATGATGCAGTAAGGAGTTGGGGTTTTAGCTCAGTGTTGCCACCACCTGCCTTGCAAGCACAAGGATCTGAGTTCGATCCCTGGTACAAAAAAAAAAAAAGATGCAGGGGCAACACTGGGAATCATAGTCCTCTGGGCGTTAGGTTTTGTTGTTGTGTTTGTTGTCCTAGTTGTAGTTTTCTAAACTAATTTTGTATTCATATTCATCATGTGTGATAGAAACTCTTCTCTTTTGGCTTAGTGGCCACCGAATGACTGGGTATAGATTTTCTTAACTGGCCTGAATCAGTAAGTTGAGCAGTCTTTGCTGAGAGGCCGTGTGTGTATGTGTATGTGTGTACACAGGTGTTGGTTGAGGAAAGATTTTAAAACTCTGCAAGACAGCTTGCAACTCTGTTAGCCCTCAGACAACCTGGGGTCAGCCAGGGCTGGGGGTTGGGGGCCCTTGAAGGTCTCTTCTCAGCAAGATGAGTGTAGCTGTCTATGTTTCTGGACAGTGTCAGAGTGTGTCAGAGTCTTCTCTGGAGACTTACACCTCAGTTTTTTTGGATTTTGGTCGTTCTTTGGTTTCTGCTGTGGGTACCTGTGCCCCAGGAGCTGTGATATCAAATGCCATGGATCGGGTCCCACAGACTCCTCTGTGGCAGCTGTTCACAGCGGCTGGGCCCTGAGTGCGGTCAGGGCAGAAAGGCCTTGCTAGCGGGCACTTCTGGGAATCTGCCAGACAAGTTGCTATGCTTTGGATTTGGTTTGAGGATATCCCCTAAAGGTTCACGTGCTGGAAGCCTGTGCCCCATGTGGCTGCGGTCCTGAGGTGGGGCCTAGTGGAGGTGTGAGGTCACTGGGGATGAATGCTGGTCTTCCACAAGAGGCCACTCTGCACCTGGCCCCTACTGCACCTCTCTACCTTGTTGTGATACAGTCTGGAGTGGGGGCACAGGTCTCAACAAGGTCAAACAGACAGAGCCACTAGACATTGGATTTTCAGTCTGTAAACCCATTAGCTAAACAAACCTCTTTATAAACTACCAAGCTGCAGGTATTTCATTGCAATAACATAAACCTGCCCGATGCACAAGTCAGTGACATGGCTGCTCAGCTGCTATTTTGCATAGGTGCTCTGGCTGGTTCCACTTAAAGACCACTGTGGCGAGGGGTCGGGAAATGGGAATAGGGCAAATTGCAACAGCACAAGACATCCCTGATTTCACCAAGATCCAGCCATTTCCCCTGAATAAATGCTCCTTGGATTCTTGCAAGCCTTTGGCTAATTTCTAGAGTTTTGAAAAGGCTGGTTTTGACAACTTTGCCAGTGTTATTATCTTTATGGCAGAATGGATTTTGGGAGGTTCTTGCCTTTTCTTTTCCAGAAGTATGCAGATCTTTTGTGTTGTGTAAGAGCTTTGACTTCTGAGGGCATTGAAATGTCAGAAACCAACATTTCAAAACTGAATCGGATCATAGCCTACAGTGTTCATGTCCACATGTCCCTAGTGTGGTCCCTGGGACATCTCTGAGGTTCACATCTTTTCTGTTAACCTCCTGGGAGCCGCACATCTAATGGGCAAACTTCTCCCAATCAGTTGGCCGGGGACAGTTGTTTGACTTCAGTGTCATACAGAATGGAGCAGAAGCTATCCCAGCGGGTCTCCAGGTACATGACCTTACTTTAGAAGCAAAATGTGCGCTCCCCAGGCCTAGGTAAACTTGAGACCCTCAGAGAAGAATCTTAACTGTTTTCTCTTCCTTTGACATCCAGAAAGAAAATACTAACTAAATTCTTCAGGCACTGCTTCATGATGAAATGCTCTTCTCATCCAGTGGATGACCATGCATGCGATGACCAGCTCCGTGATGGTGGTTAGGAACAAGTACTGTATGAGCATCATGCCAGCCATCTGGTTAGGGAGACAACAAATATCCCTCATGTCCGTTAGCTATTAAAAGTTGCACAAGAACAGCACTTACAAAACAGGGGCTTGGTGTCACTTATCATATCCTTTCCTCACAACTGTGATTGTTTTTGAGAAATTTTCATAACAACTAAGTGTGCTTTAAACTGGCCACTTCTATATGTACCAAACACCCATCAAACATTTAATTGCAAAAACAACCCTGCAAGTGGGACACCATTATTCTTATTTTACACGTGACAAGGCTGGCAAGTAGAGATCAGAGAACAGTAGCACACTCGGCTGGAGTTCTGCGGGAGTCAGCCCTGCTGCTCTTGCCTTTCTGATTTCCTGTACCCTATTTCACTAGGGTTGATCATATGGCCTGTGCTTGATGTGCTGCCATTTAGTTGCATGTTCCATTTTCTTTACTGTATATGCCTCAAGCATTGTTCCATGAATCAGGTGGAACAACCCTCTCCCCGCATCCTTAGCACCTCTAAAGTGAGTTTCTTCTCTCTTAGAAATGTGAAAACATTTTGCAATATTTCTCAATGCTCTCCACCCACAGTTCCCCACATGAAGTGCAAGGGCTAAGACAATAGGTGATTTTGAGAGCAGGAATACAGCTCCTTCTGGTCCTCTTCCCCCATCCCCTAGAATGGGCTGTGCTTATAATGCCAGCTTCTTCCCTTCGATGTCTGATAATTGTCTGATCCCCAGAGGGAGACTGTGGCCTGCAGTCCTCCTAGATGGAGAAGTTTAACTCAGCTATGACTAGGTGGATGGGTTTAATTCAGGAAGGGCAGTGCTAGCAAGCTCATTTAGCTAAAGATTTGAAAAATTGCTCTCCAACTATGATAACCAATAAAAAGCTGACAGCTTTGTCTATTTTTGGTTGATAGTGTATCTCATCCCACTTGTTTCAACACGAGAGGGGCAGATGACCATTTCTTGGCCTCCTGTACTCATCGCCTGGGGCTGCTGTGATGGAGAACCACAAATGGGTGGCTTGGTACAGCAGAAATGCACTGTTCATGGCTCTGGATGCTGAAATCCCAAACCAAGAGACTGGCAGAACCATGGCTCTGGAGGAGAGTCCCGTCTGGCTCCTTGGATTCTGGGAGCCCCGGTTTCCCTTGGTTTATGGCACACAGTTCCCGTCTCTGCCTCTGTGTTCATGTGGACATCTTCCTTGTGAACTATCTCCCTCCTTAGGGCTTGAATACTCCTTTTCCTATTAGGGTATAAGTCATACTGGGTTGATGGTCCACCCCACTGCAATAGGACCACATTTTAACTTAACTAATGACATCTTCAGTGACTCCACTCCTAAAAAAATATCATATTCTAAAATACCGTGGGTTGGGATTTCAAAAAAGTTTTTTGGAATGCAGACTGTTTGCATCTAAGGCTCCCAAATTCGTGCCCTCCCCAGTGTGCAAAATGTATGCACTGGATCTTAACCTCTCCCCAAGTGTTAACCTACTCAGGTTCCAAGCCTAACTCCAACATCTGTCCTAAATAATATCAGATCAAAAATTCTCAGACTATTATTGAAATCATTTAGGGGACAGAATCAGAGGATGGTTCATCCTGGGGGAAAAATTTCTTTCCACTTTGAGCTCGTGTAACTCAAAAACACCTTATTTGCTTCCAAGCTACAATTGTAGGAAAGCATGGGAGACCACATGGGGTAGGGTGGGGAGGAGCTAGAGGGACATGGGCCCTGGAAGAGTCCACAACAGAGGAGATTTTGTTAGATTTCATGGCCTCAGGGGCGTCCTCTGGCCCCGTCCTCAGGGTCTGCTGGCTGGTTTGTTGGCCCACAGAAGCATCCTCACCTCCCAGGCCAATGGGGCCTCACCCTTGGGGCTGCCGTTGCCGTGCCCTGTGCTGTATTAAAAGGGAAAATGTTCTGGACAGGAGATGTGGCTGTTTTTCCTGCTTCCTTCTTGTTTTCTTTCTTGCTTGTGTAAATCATCTAACAATTCATTCTTTATTCTGGTTTTTATGCTTACATATTTAATATGTGATTTATATATAGTACAGAGTATGTGCCTATTTTTGTTTTCTTTGGAACGGATAGGTCATTGATTTAAGGACATTTATTCCCATTCCATCTTTCTTCCAATGCCTGGTTTTATCACCTCCCATAATACATCATGTTTCTACCAATACTTGGGTTTATTTCTCATCTCTCTATTCTGCTCTCTGATTAATTTTTGCTTTAGTACATGATACAATGTACTTTTATTTATTTTTATCACAATAACCTGATAAGTTTTAATATCTGATGTAACAAGTTCTCTGGCCTTCCTCCAACATTATGTGACTCCTAAGCTTTCGTTTTGGACAATTTTCACAGTTATTCTTGTAGTTGTATGTCCTTTAGAATAATTTTGTTGCATTACTACCAAAACGTTGTTGAGATTCCAAATGTAATTGCATCACAATTGTGTATTAATTTGTAGAAGCTTGCAATTTTATGACATAATGCATTGCATCTAAGAATATGTTTTTAAAAAACTGTTTGGTCCTTTCTTAGGTCCTCATTATATTTTTATAGTTTCATTGTTATTTCAGTTTGGTTCTTATTTTTCCCATTTCAATATCTGAGTCATTATGTGTAGCATCAAAATAATTTATAATTTTTGTACGTTTTTGTTTTATCCACCTACCCTACTTTGAAATGTTTTATTATCTTTGGTGCTTTTTTTGAGGTTTTTTTTCTAGCTATCCTGTCATTTTATCTTTAGATAATGGTAAATTTTTATCTCTCTTTGAGGTTTCTGGTGTTTCCAAATTTTGGAGGGAAACTAATTTTTTAGTATGCAAATGATAAAAATTTGGAGGAAATGCTGTTGTTTACTTTTGTATTCCTGCGCCAAAACTGGTTGACAGTTTCAGTAAGCTTTTTCTATGCCTAATTCTCTTCAACATACGTTATTCATAATAGGTTTTTCACTTATATCTAAAATTTTGATTAAGTTATTATTAAAACTGGTACTTACATTTGACCAAGAGTATTCCTCTCCTTTCTCTTCAAAAATTGCAAATTCAATACCTAATACCAGTAAGCCAATTATAGCTGTGAAGACACTTAAGATGTTCATTACAGTTGCTAAAATAATCTGTAATAGACATACAAAGAGAAACTGGTTACGGATCACATAAACAGATTTTGATAAAACAGTCTGTCACACTGCCTAGAACACTGAAGTTGGAATTTTTATTTTTTATTTGTCTTTCTGGAGTCATATAGTGGTTAGTATCAGGATTCTACCTCAAATTTGTCTAGAAGCCAGTAGGATAAAAAATTTTTTTTACAGGAGAAAATTTATTAAGTGAGTCAATACATAATTACATAATGCCTACAGTGTGGTAAACATCATGCTAAATGTAGTGTCAGGTTTCTACTGGTGAAGCTTATGATTTAATAGGGAAGATGGAATGCTAAACCGAATTTTATCTAATGAAATTTAATGAATGTTATGGCATGGCGCAGATAACTTGGTGGGCTACAGTCCTTACTTCGTGGGAAAGCACTTGCATAGCACAAGCAAGGCCCCGTGAGCCATCTCCACTATCACAAAATAAGCAAACAGAAAAACAAAACTCCTTTCAGTGGTTTTCAAACTTGCTTTGAGACAGAAACTGCATTGTTTTTTTATGGCCACAGAAATGAGTTGTTAAAAAATCATAATTTATATATGAATAAAATGCATATAATAGCATTTATGATAGTTAAATTAAGATGTAACAAATTGAAGATAGGGTGTGTGTTCAAAAAGGTCTTTGCCACAGCTTCTGCTAAGTGTAGTTTTATACAGAAATTGTCTTGAGTGGTCTGAACTTTATGCAGATCCTGCAATGAAGCTCCCTGCAGTATTTGCACCTTGAGAAATGTCAGCTCCATGGAAGGAAGGAAGGCATGTTGCAGCTAGGGCCGCCCCTGCATGTGCATTAAAAAAGACACTCTTGTACATTTTTTTATTAAACATTGGCTACACATACTAAAAAAGAGAAGAAACTGCATTATTTTGAATGATGCTGAAGGCTCTGCATGAGCTGCGAAGGAAGTGGTGCCCATTTAAGAAGGGGCTGTGTTTTGTGTGTATGTATGAGAGGAGAAGAGGTGTTTTTTTTGTAGAAATGAGGAAGAAGATCTGATTTGCTGCTAGTCAAAGAAAGGGAGAACTTAAGTGGACATAGGAATTTTCCATTGTCTAATAGGAAGCCCTCTACATATTTTAAGGGCTCCCCTCATTGGTTTTTATGAAAGTTATTCTAATGTCTACCATGAATGCCAGAGGAAGGAGATCCTTTCTCTCTTCATATCTCGCAGCACTATGACAGTGGCACCACCAATGAAATGCTCCTACAAGGATTATCTGTCTTGAGCAAGTGACTTAAAAGTGAAGAAAATACTGGAATTAGTTCCAAGCCAAAGCAGCTGTAATGTCTCACAGTGGGCAGTGGTGATTCTGGGTATCAGAAGGCAGCTATGATTTCTTGGTTTGAAATATCCAAGTCCTTTACCTCCCACAGCTACCATGAGCCTGACATCTCAGTAGATCCCATCTTTGCTGAAAAGAGTCAGGTTCAGTTCATGGTGATGGAGAAGAGTGGGAAAGTGCATTATGACAGAGTACTGTGCGTACAAAATTTTAGGAGCATGGAGAGCAGGTGTTTAGGGAAGCATCTGGCATTTGGAAATACAGAGTGGTGGCTGAAAATACAGAGTGCTCAAGTGTAGATGGATAGGAGGGCAGAGGTAAGGGGAAAAAATGAGAATCAAGACTTGTCATGTAGAGGTACAAGATCCCAACAATGAATGTAACTGTACTGTATCCCTAAAATTTACCAATAAACTCAATTAAAGCTGAAAAAAAAAGAGTAGATGGATAAAATGTGGCTAGGGAGGTCGCAGAGGATGTAAAAGAGGAAGAATCATGATTAGTATGATGTGATAGGATTTTAGATTTTATCCTTATGGATATGTACTATTGGAATTGTCATACAGGAAGCTATGGAGAAAAACTCCTACTTAGTACAAGGCCAGTTGTGATATATTCCAGAAATGCAGTCATGGTGTCTCTGCTTATGGAGACAGCAAGACTTATGAACCAAGATCACTTATATAAGAACATTTATGCTTCAGAATTACTTTTGAAGGGTTCTTCTTCTAGCATGAAGCTATAAAGAACTCTGAACCTACTCCCCAGCCAAAGTTTGAAAACTGTGAAAATAATTTTGATCATTTAAAAATCTCTGGAAAGAGTCCTAGGGGTATACAGCTAGTGAAGAAACAATTATTCTAATAACATTTCATGTTTCCTAAAAATAAGACCTAGCTGGAAAATACTCAGCCTTGAAAACTAGAGATCAAAAACTTTATCAAAAATCCCAGCCAGCCAACTTGGTTTATGTAAGTACACTCTGATGTTTCCACAGAGACAAAATTGCCCACATTTCCTAACGAGCATTTCTCAGAATGTGTTCTCATTGTTAAGAGTCATACAACTATATTTATAATAGCCATAAATGCGGAATTGATCCAAATGTCCTTTGCCTTACTTATGTTCCTGTTTGCTGAGACAAAATACCGAGAACCCAAATTAAAGAAGGGATGATTTATTTGGTTCATAGCTTGTACAGGTTTCAGTTCATAGTTGGCTGGCTCCAAGGCAGGGTGGCATGGCAGAGGGGGATAGCAGAGGTGAAACAGTTCATGGTGGGCATAAGGCAACAAGCAGCAAGAAACAAGCAATACGTTACAAACCGCAACACTTTCTGTTCCTTATTTCTTATCCAGGCTACCCACCCTGGCACTTATGCCTAGGGTGGAGCAGTTTTAATCTTAACATAGAATTATGAGTTAATTTCAGGGCTGAGGATTTAGCTCAGTGGTGCTGTGCCTGCCTGGCAAGTGCAAGGTCCTGGGTTCAATCTCTGGTACAAAGAAAAAAAGAATTAATTTCAACATCACATCCTTGTTCCCAGCAGCACACACCCTAGATCCAGCCACCTCCAAAAAGTCCCACCTAAAACTGCATAAGGCTTTGGTGGAAACATTTAAATATAAGTTGTAACATCCATCAACTGATGAATAAGCAAAACATGGAAATAGGCTTTGTGCAACTCTGCAAGTGAGAAGAGTCAGGGGAATAGCAGTGAATCTATAATCCAGGAAGAGAATACAAAGAGCAACTCTGGGAACCAACAAACAAGTGAAAGGAAGACTAAAGAGCATGGAGAATCAGAAAAAACAACTCAGAGAAAAGTCCCAACAACTTCAGTCCCAGCTCCCCAACACTTGGGTGTGGGAAATCCATCACCAAAAGCATTTGGCAAACCAGGGCATGCAATTTATGCCAGTAGTAGCAGCAGACGGGCAGTCCTAATTGCGGGAGAATTCTATAATTCTTAACAAGCTTTACATCCAGTTTGGGGATTTGGTTTGAGAACAACTCCTTCTGCACTGCAAGCTAGCTTTGGCGAAGAAATTCAGTGCACTGCTGAGAAAATCCTCAGGGCTGTAACCAAAGCCATACTGAGAAGTTCCAGTTGTTAGGACTAAACTGCTCTGGGGCTCAGACAAATGGAGTAATCACAGTTTAGGGTCCCCTTGAATGCCCCACTGCGTTACTGGTGAGTGATGGTCATACGGGACAGTTGTAGGTGGGAGAGTATCTGATGTGACAGCTGCAGAGGTTTGAGCTGGGGAGAATGTGGGCTGTGATGAGGAGAGGAGAACACAATGGTCACTGGTTCTGTCCTCTGTGATGAGGGGCAAGACCAGTTGCATGTGGTTTCAGGAGGAAGTCAGGTCTGAGAGTGCTGAGATCATGGTGATCGAGTCGCTCATTCCTATTGCTCATGGACTGCAAGAGTAATCTCAGAGGGTGCACCCCATGTACACTCCCTCCACCTCAAACTTGGTGGTTTGATGGCTCCTCTAATTTAGAGATAGCCTATGGATACATCATGGCTTAGGCATCTGCCACACCGCTGGATGCACTGACCGGAGTCCTCCATACTAGATTTATGTCCACCTGGTGTGGCCCACATAACACTGAGACCCGGTCAGTGTGAGGGGCTTGCTGAGGCCCAGGCATTTGTTGTCTCTTGGTGTGTGTTCTAATAGCAACTGGAGCCCTAATGCTAACCCAGGCAATGTGGTCCAGGTATGAGCGCAGCTTGGTCAGCAAGAAGGACTTGCTACAACACTGACATTCACCACACTCCTGTGTGCATACTTAGAAAGCCTCCATGGGGAATATGGTGACGATGCAGTCAGCATTTCCCCAACCTGGACATCAGGAAATGCAGGGACAGCCTGCACAGCATCTCATGGGGTCACAGGTGTGGATTTCAGCATCTGATAACCCAGAAAGAAGTGTCCTCAACCCAAATACTTGGATAGGAGGAATTGTGACTTAATTTTTTTCTCTTTTCCTTTATCTACCTTATATTATTTTTATTTGTCATCATTTTTACTTTTATTTTAAATTATTTGATAAGATTCTCCATCGCTCTCTCTCTCTCTCTCTCTCATTCCATCTCTCCTCTTCACTTTTATTAAGTTTTTTGATTCAAGGTCTCAAAGGTTGGCCTCAAACTCAGTATGTAGCCCTCGAACTCAGTATGATCCTCTTGTCTCAGCCTTCCAAACTGTGGGATTAAATTTTATTAGTTTTAAAAGTTTTAGTTTGATTTAGTTTATATCATTATTGTTGTTGCAGTTGCTGTTTTTAATTGGTTTGCTGTTTTTCTATACCTGGTTTGTTTTACATCCTGGTTGTAACTATCATTTGCTTTCTTCTTCCTGAGTGTTTCTGGGGATGAAGCCTGGCTCTTGGAGCATGTTGGGTAGGCACTTTGCTGCTGACCTACATTCCAGTCCAGTGAGAGAAATTGCACCTTATTATAGTCATGATCAGGTTCCACACCAACTTGTAAAGTATTTCAGCTTAAAGAACAGGCGAGACCAAAGCCTGTAGCTGATGACTCTGCCCCAGATAAGCATGGCTGTGTGAGTGGGGGCTGAAGTTCTGCTCCTGAACACTCACTCCCATAGCGACAGCAGAGAGAAATAGTACTACTGTGGTGGGCACTGCCCATAGGAGGGCCCTAAGCATAGGTGACTCCTACATTCTTCCGGGCAGTACATTGTTCACCATACTGGAGGAGTAACCACAGACAGCACACTTGTCTGAATTGCCAGAGGGACCCCGCTCCTGCAAGATCTACAGAGAAACTGGGCCTTCAGCTTGCAACATGATATGCATTGTATCTAAACCCACCAATCAGAGTCAAAGACGCCACAGGGAAAATATACAAAGAAGTCCAGTTGGAATGAAGCTCAACACTACACAACAAACCAATATCTCAGATCAAGATAAGACTGTTCCTTAAGGAGGATCTTACATAAAAGTGGAAGAGATATCCTGTCCCATAGAAGTGCAGATCTCAATGCAGAAATACAAAAAATATGAAAAAAAAACCAAGGAAACATTGTTCCTCCAGAGATTCATAACTCTAGTAACTGCTTCCAAAGATACTGAAATGGATAAGATGCTGGACAAAGAATTTAAAATGATTTAAAAATGTTAAATAAATTCAAAGAGGACACTAATAGTGAATGAATAAAGGAATATAATGTAGGCTAGGAAAGAGCCATTCAATAATATTTTGAAAAGGAACTAAATGGAAATTTTACAAATGAAAAGCTCAAAAAGTCAAATAAAAAACTCAGTTGAAAACCTGACCAATAGATAAGACCAAGTGGAAGAAAAGATATTAGGGCTTGAAGAAAAGGTTATTGAATTATCACACTTGGACAGTAATAAAGAAGAAAAAAGAAACAGTGAACAAAAAACACAAGATCTACAGGACACAATTTAAACATAAAATACGTGTACAACAGAAATAGGCGAGTAAACATAGTTACAAGCTAATGGCATAAGAAACCTATTCAGTGAAATAATAGAAAAATTTCTAAATCTTGGGAAAGATTTCTGTCCAGGTATGGAAGGCATTTAGAACTTCAAATAGATATGACCAGAAAAGAAACTCTCCATAGCACGGTATAGTTAAACTGCTAAAAGTAAGGAGCAAAAAAAGATTATTAGAAGCTGTAGGTGAGAAATGTCAAGTCACACAGAAAGGCAAACCCATAAGAATAACACATTTCTCAGCAGAAACTCTAAATACCAAGAGGTCAGGGAATGTATTTTTAAGACACAAGAGAAAATACTGCCAACCTAGATTACTATGTTTAGTAAAGTTATCTTTAAGAATAAAGTAGAAATAAAAACTTTGTAAAATAAGCAGACTAAAGGAATTTATGAACACTAAGCCAGTATTACAGATACTTAAAGGAATCCTACACCATAAGAGGAAGCAAGATAAACAAAGTCACAAGAGTACAAGAAAGAATAAAACTCATTATAACAGTAAATAGGCAAATACAAATTAGGAAAAAAAATGCTATTCATTCTACTGAAATCTTTAAGATTAAATAATAGAGAAAGAAATGAATGTGTTATTCAAATACCCAGAAGAAAAACAACAAAATTATAGGAACTAGTAGACACCTTCAATAATAAACCTGGAAGCACACATGCTTTCCTCAGGAGCCTTTCATAAGCATAGAGTCTGCTGTCATATGCCAGGAACTGTTGTTTTTTTAATTTGTTTTTTGGTACCGAGGATTGAACTCAGGTCCTTGCGCTTTTGAGGCAGGTGGTGGCATCACTGAGCTAAATCCCTGGCCCACCAGGAACTGTTCTTTATGCTTATTTACTCAATTAATCCCTACGATTCAAGGCAGGTACTGTTATTACTCGTGTATTTTCAGATGTGATGGAAGCACACAGTAAAGTAATTTGCCCACCACCACACGGCCAGCAGTAAGGAAATCACAATGTGAAGACGTTCAGTACGTTTTCTCCGACCCGTGACCTTACCCATAAGGGGCCAGTGAGAGTGAAAAGCCCTAAGCAAGGAAGGGACCGTACTTTGGTGGATAAAATATAAGGACCTCTGAGTTTGCATTCTAATAATGGTTCCTAAATCTGGGTTTTTTCTTCTCATCAGTTTTTTTCTTATTGCCATTTTAAAAATTAAACACTGCCCTTCAAACTTAGCCTAGTTACTTTTTCTCCTTTCTCACTGCTTTGAATGAGGTCACAGTTTCATTCGGTCATAGATATCACTTTAGAGAGTGTGGGATGGTTTATTATATAGAAACTTTCGTATCTGTCTCCTTATTGCTCACACTGCAACCTCTTCCAGCACCCACACAAAAAAGATGTTCTGGAATGCATGCTTATGAAAATTAAATGATTCTTTTCCATTCAATCATCTGGAAAAGTTTTCTCCCCTCAAAAATAGTTGGTTCAAAAGCCATCATATCTCTTACTCTGCACCAGTAACATTGTTATTATTGGAGCTGCTCCAAATGGTCCAACGTACCCTATGTGATCTCGAAGGAACTTTCTGGATCACAGTGCTGGATCCGGACATGATGAACTGGGAACAGAAACAAATGTTTATAAACACCCAGACCTAACAATGATCCCATAAATAAGATCTTTTTCCTAATTCCAGTGGCATTCCTGGTATCTAAAATAGCAGTGTATTTTCTGAAGAAAGTGCTCGGAACACAACTCCATTTTATTACTGTGGTGATCACTAGTAGGATCTGTAAGAAACAGGCCTGTGATCTCTCTATTGCAGAGATGAACAGATATTTCAGTCTCTGGTCATTGATGAGGACTTTGATAGGTGATGGGCCTTTGGGATTTCACAATGATTTTATGAGGAACGAACAGCAGGCACTGCCCCTGTTCTGACTGTTATTTGTTGAACCATGACTGGGATTATTAGAAAATAATCCCCAATGGCTAGCATGGCAGATTTCACTTGCAAGAACTTATGTTCCTTCTATAATGCTGTGGGAAATATTTCATCACGGAAGATGGTTTCAGAAAGCATTTGATTGGAGGGTGTATAGGTTTCCTTTCACAAGCATTATGTCCTAAGTGCTATTGTCACCTGCTGGCACTGCTTAAAACTGTCTTTTCTGGTATATGAAGAACTTATTTTTCCTCCAGTGGTTTCTCTTATACCTGCCAGCAGCAGTCACAAAAGATGACTGGACTACACTAAAAAAGGGGTCAGGAATCCTAGAATCTCAGTCCTGGAAAATGAGATGCTATCATGGATACAGAACCTCCTTGACTTGATTAAAAAACCACCTCTGACATTTTACTGCTGTGTCATTCTAGAAGAGCTACTTAAATTCTCCAGGCCTTGGGTTCCTCTTTTATAAAATGTGGATAAACGATAGTTATCACATGAGGTTGTTGTGGCAATTGGGTAAAATGCACATGAAATATCTTTGGAAGGTGCCTGATACAAAAGAGACGTAAAGTTGAATAATTAGTATTTGTGGTTAAATTATAAAAAATATTTTAAAAACGTAAAAACTCTTTTTGGTACCTGGGATCGAACTAGGGACCTTGTGCTTACAAGGCAGGCGGCGGCACCACTGAGCTATATCTCCGGCCCTGTGGTTAATTTTTGACATAAACACCTTATCTATGTCTTGGGCTTCACGTCCTTTCTAAATGCTCTTTTTCTTTTTTTTTTTTTTGGTGCCGGGGATTGAACTCGGGTCCTTGCGCTTGGAAGGCAGGCCACTGAACCACTGAGCTAAATCCCCAGCCCTCTAAATGCTCTTTAATGCTGACTCTTTGCATTATTTCAGTTTGAATATTTTCTCTTAATTACACACACCCATTTCCAGAAAGTTCCCACGCTGGTAAAGGGCTTCCGCTCGAGGACTCTGGCTGTGTAAAGGCCTCTGAGGAAATGCTTGTCCTTTGGGACAGTGACTGCCTGGCCCTTTCTGGGGGAAACTGCTGTTCTCGTGCACCTCAGGGGCTTTTTCACAAAGCACAGGGACCACAGGGTTACCCTCCAAGTTACCCTCTCTTGAAACCTGTTTTGGGTTGAGGAATGTAGAAAGGTGGTAAGGATTTCCTGAAGCCCTTTCTCCTCTGTGGAGAAATCTGACCGTAGATTAACTTTTCAGTTGTGTTCAGGTGGAAACTTGTTACAATAGGGATGCTGGTTGTGCTGGGAGGCTGCATGGCTTGTGCCTAAAACAACCCCTGACTGATGAATTGCTTCTGGATGGAATAAGCTGTGAAGTAGAGCAACCTGTGGGGAAGCAAGGACTTCAGGATTCCCTGAATAATGGGGTACGTCCCTGCTTGGCACCTTGGCAATTATACCGGAGCTGTTGCAACACCCTTACTCAAAATGCCCATTTCAGTCATCTCTGTTTAATTTTCCCAAGTTCCTCTCAGGTTCCTCAGGTCTCTTCTTTTCTCTTTCCTTATAAAACCTCTCTAAAAATTGTCTCTCCTACCCCTGTCCTGAGCCTCAAGCCTTTGGATTTTTAATACACAGAAGAAAAGCTTTCTAGTTATCCAGAGCTCCACTCTATTCATCTTCAAGTGTCTCCTTCAGCATCTTTTTTGCATGTACATTTCAGCCTCTCAAGGATCTCTCGGAAACATGCAACAAACGTAAAAGAGGCACTTCCAGTCTGTCTTAAAACTGAAGTGAGCAATTTAAGTTAGGGATTGGTCTTTAGTCTACTGCTCTGTCACCTGAGTAATTTACTTTATTCATTAAGAAAAACCCAGAAATAAATAATACCATTGTTTACTCACGAACAACGCTGATGAAAACGAGTAAGCTACTAAAGCAATGATAGTGGCAAAATCTTCATCATCTAGTTGCAAGAAAAAAATCCAAAAACCTCCCAGGGCACAGTGAAACAAGGCAATCATTATTTGCGAAGCCTGAAAAACAGAGAGCCAACATTGTCATGCGGGATGAGTCTATGACGTGAGTATCAGAGAGGTTTCAAGGATGTCCAGGTTACCCTGGTATTTCTGAAGCAGGGTTGAAAGAATTCCGTGCAAGAAAAGAACAGAAGCAGAGGGAGAAATGGCTGCCCCTGTAGGGTGGGGAGGGGTCTTCTCATTTATGGGGATATTTGCTTTTGTTTCACAGCAGCCTTTGAGGACTATTAACATGTAAGTTTCTAGTTGGTTCTAGTTAAGTAAAAAGGGAGGACACACGACTCAAAGGAGCAATATCAGCTCTGAGGATCTCTAAGACTCTTTCTTGACAGCTTTTTTATGTTCTGATGCCCATTCTTTCTCAGATCCACTTAGGGCATTTTAAGTGGATTTAAGTGATTTCAATCAAAGCAGCAATAGGCCAACAGGTACCCACAGCATCGGTCATCGTATCCACTTGACAATTAAAGTCTTTCGTGCTGAGGCGGCTCTGTGTGGGTCACTCGCAAGGAGACACAAATATCCATTCAGAGATTTGCCCACACAGCTCTGCCCTAGACTTTCTTGATACAAGTTTTCCAGTCGTGGTCCTTCTAAATCCCTGGCTGTCCAGCTAAATATCTGGCCATTTCTTCTTCCAAGCAAAATAAGCAACCAGGGGCATTGCTTGAATTTCTGCCCACTGGAAAGAGTTTCTTTCATCTCTTTTATGGCTTTGTGTGCCAGGTAACAGCCAGCTCACAATGGGCGGCTCAGGTCCTGTGGTAGCTTGGTTAAATATTCAATCTCTGTTAAGTCCCACAAAATCACTACCAATCTGTCCTCCAGAATGACTCTGGGTGCTGAAATCTGTGTTACTGAGTGTTCTCTGGAGAAGCAGAACAGACAGGACAAATATATGGCAGGCTGGAGGGCCCAGAGAGCACTGCGTGGTTCCGTTTTAAGTGCTGGCATGCTGGAGACTGTGGAGAGCCGGGGTCCTTGTTCCCGCGTGAAGACCGGCATGCTGGAGACCCGGGAGAGTTGCTGGTGTGGATGAGATTCTCGGTCAGTCTGATGGAGAATTCCTTTCACTAAACAGGGCCAGAGAAGTCAGCCTTTGCTCTTTTGCCTAGTCAGCTGACTCAGTGAGGCCCATCTGCTTCACTCAAGGCGCACTGATAATGTTAATCTTTACCACAACACACTCACGGAAGTGACAGAATACTGTCCTAGCCAATATCTGCACCCCCACGGGCCGAGACAAAATGCCATGTAAAATGAACTACTGCAGAAACTCAAGAAGATGAGTCTCCCTTGAGGATGACATGAGGCACACGAGGCCAGGCATTTACTGTTGATGTCTGCTTTGATCTGATAGACAGGGATGGAAAATCGAGATGCATTTGGATGGCCTGCTCACTTACCATGGTCTTTAGTTTCAGCTCCTTTCTGGGCCATGAAGCCACTGTGTTTGGTGAAAATCACAAGGGTTTAGTAGGAGGGACTAATAAAGGCTCTACACCCTTCATTGTCCCTGAGGCAACAGCTCTCTCGGGCAGGTCAGCGATGACTAATGATAGGTCTACACGCCTTCTCAAACACCTTGTCACTACCTCCTTGAAGCCACATGAGGAGGTAAAGAGCAAGCCTCAGGACTGGGATAGGGTAGGAAACCAGGGGCTCCTGGCCCTGACTGTAGGCGGTGCTTCCCTGGTGCAGGCCCCACATCTGATAGCGTCCCAGGCAGGTCCCAGGCACCTGAGATACTCAGGCATAACATATCGGGAGTTTTCCTGGTGCTGGATTTAATGTTGCTGGCTTAGAACTCCATGTAATTCAAGCTCCCATAAATATTGGTGGATACCACAAAAGGTTACAGCATTTTAAATGTGAGGAGAGGTGAGGGGGAGGTTGGGGATGCATTATAGGACTGACTCCCTGAATAGAAAGCAGGAGAGCACACGGAGAGCACAGTACCTCATGCCCAGGGCCTCTTGATTGTGGGACCCCCATCTGACCTCCTCATTCTGATCTATAGCTTTGTTTCAGCAAGGTTTGCAAACAGGCAGCAAATGAACGACTGAAGCATCAGCAACCTCAGAACGTTTTTCTAAAATCCTGGGTAGGCTGTGATAATGTTGAAATATTCAGGCATGGATTACTGATCTGTAATTTGTCTGATTGTCTTCACCTCAAAGCACTTTCACCAACTTTACTCATTGGAGGAGCTCACTGTGAATGAAGTCAGTGTTTTCCTCTTCCTCCTCCTTCTCTTGTTTTTTTTTTTTTGGTAACAGGGATTGAACTCACAACCTTGTACTTGCATGGCCGGTGCAGTGCCAGCCCCAATGCTTTCTTATTAGTAGTGAGAAGCAATACTGCTTGCTTATTTATTAACTCAGCAGCACTAAGTCCTTACCCCCAGGGCACTGGTCTCCTCTCTTATGAAATATCTTCTTGGCATTGTAACTAAGGAATGGCTTATGAGTTATAGAGGATGAATGGACTGCTTTTCTGTAGAGAAATATAGAATAAATTAGACAACCTAGAAAATCTGGATAAATTCCTAGAACTGTAAAAACTAAATAAGACTAAAACGTTGAGAAATAGAAACTCTGAACAGATAAACAGTAAGGGAAGAGATTCAATCAGTAAACTAAAATTAATAAAAAGTCTCCCATCAAAGTAAAGACAGGAACTCATAGCTTCTCAGCTGAATTCTACCATTGTTTAAAGAACTAACCCCATGTTTTTCAAACCCTTCCAGAGAATTGAAGGGCAATATTTTCAAATTGCTTTCATGAGGTTCACATTACTCTGATACCAAAGTCAAACAAGAACTCTACATAATAATAATAAAAAAAGTTATTGGGCCATTTAGCTCAATTGCACTGCGCCTGCATTGCAAGCACAAGGTCCTGAGTTTGATCTCTGGTACCAACCTCCCCCTCCAAAAAAGAAAATTATTGATCAATATCTGCAATGAACTTTGATGCAAAAATCCTCAAGAAACAACTAGCAAACCAAATCCAACAGCACTTCCAAAAGGGCATATCCAGGAATGGCAGACAAAGGCCAGTGTCTGAGTTGACAAGGCCCCATTTTTTTGCTGGGATTACGATGAAAACCTGTTATGTGGTCTGCTTTCCTTGGCTGTTGATGAACCTTTCCCTTGCCTTCCCAGTTCTCACCCACCTCTTGGGGCACAGAGCTTTCCTGGCTATCACTGGAATCCACAGCAGAATCCAGATGTACCGACCGGCCCTTGGAGGCACCTCTGCCTGCCTCCCAGCGCAGGTCCCAAACCACACTCTGGTCATTTCTGACCCCTATTTCTGATCAGTTTCAGTTCCATCACTGGAACACACACACAGAGACACATAGATGCACACACACACACACACACACTTTTTTTGTATGCTTGTGTCATTAATCTTTGTAACTGGGGACTCTGAGCCTGGTGGCGCAGTTGTGGATGCCCCGACTGTCCAGTGAGAGATCCGCGTGTGTGACAAAGCCGCTGCAGTGTGCAGACACATGGTCTGGCTCTCCCCGCAGGGTGTGGGAGGCCGTCTGTCTTATGACCAGGCTGGCACTGACAAAGCAGTGGGTGTCTGGCTTGCTTGGCCTGTGTTGTAACCCCACACACCTCCACGCATTCAGGTGAGACCCTGCACGGGGCGACTTCAAATCTAGGCCGTGTATTTTATTTTGTTTTTATTATTTATTTATTTATTTATTTATTTATTTATTTATTGGTTTTTTGAGACAGGGTCTCACTGTGTAGTTGAGACTGATGTGGAACTCACTATGTAGTCCAGGCTAGTCTCGAACTCACAGTGATCCTCCTGCCTCAGCCTCCCGAGGGCTGGGATTACAGGCGTGCGCCACCATGCCCATAGGAGGCTGTGTATTTTAAAGGATGGCCTTAGGGACCCTGGGGAAGCAGCTCACAGCACACAAAGGGCTCCATCCGCCCTGGCCCGGCCGCGCCCCCTCCCACCGGCCCTTACTCACGACAGGGTGGGCGGGTCCCCGGGTGACAGCGCCACCACCTACACGTCCGCGTCCCCACGGAGGCGTGGGGTGACCATGGGTCTCCTCTCAACGACCGTGCAGGGTAAACGGTCCCC